TCCCGCTCGTGATTCAGATTTTTTTTGTGACAGCGTTTATGTGCATTCAGCTTGACTTGAATGACTCCAGCAGTTTTGATTTGCGTGTTATATCTACTTAAATTTGCACACTTCTGATTGGTTGAATTGTGAGGAGTGAAGTATACTTCTAAAGTGTATGCTATATGTCTAACTTCTCATGTACGGTTTTCAACTTTTGACAACTTTTTGGAGGATTGATGGTGACCATTTTTACTAAGGCTTATATAATAAATGACGTGCCAAAAAAAGCCATTTTACGAGCCAGCAGATGGCGCTGTTTTCAATACTCCAGGATTTAAAAGTGTAACAATTTACAGATGTAAGCTTTAATGACCAAATGTATTTATTTATTTATTAATAAAATACATATCAGTTAAGCGGCATACTGAAAGAGATAATGTCAATATATGATGTAATAAAATTGTGATAAAACATAATTAAGCCATTGGGAACATTAGGTCGGATGGACCATCAGTATGTCTGGCACAAATATCTTTAAAAAACAAAATAGAACTTTATGTTTCTCTGTCAAAATATTAATTATGTTACTGTATTATTGTTTGATGTCTATATCTGCTAATTGTTTGTCTTGATTCTTGCCCAATATGAAAATCGTGACCAGCATGATGTAGTCTTTGAAGTATCAGGCCATTTTTGGTCAAAATTGGGATGCTTTTATTGTGAAAACTGAAGCTTGATGATCATTGGACTTTCCAACAGAACAATGATCCTAATATACATCCAAATCTACCAAAATCTACCATAAAATTTTGTTCTCTAGAAAAACTTACAGATCAGGGGGGTTGAATAATTTTATTGATTGTTGTAAGAATGAATTTATGATTACTTTTAAGATGGGATCATATTATGTTATGTTAAACTTACAAAATTATGAATATAATATATTTTAGCTATTGTGTGAATGAATAATCAGGGCTGGAAATGTTGTGTGTGAGACCAGGAAAGACACAGATTGACAGACTTGATTCGTTGATTTATACTGAATGTTTTGTTTTGTTTTTTAAATCAGTTTGGAAGTGTTTGAGCCACAAGAGGGCGTCCTAACAATATCTCATTGGAGAGAGTGATTCCTTCAACGTGTTTGTTAAGTAAAGATATGATTGATCATTACCTACATTTCTCTAATATATGAAGTGCATGAGTAGTTTGAATATTTGAAAAACACTGTGAAATTGAACATGGTTGAACATCATTTGGTTTAAACAATGTTCCTGTGGAGTTGAACATCACTGGTGAGGTATTGACTGATTCAGAAATTCACTTCAGTCCTGCTTAAAGCATATTTGTGCCGCTGTGTGTAATACACTGGTCAGTTTACAATTGAATAAAATAACCACAGACAAGCAGACGCCAGTGTCTCTTTATAATTTTAGTGAATCAAATTTCAGCTTTGCCTGGTGTCTATTTTGGCCGAAGTAGGCAAATGTGTCAAACTCTTTTCTGAATCTTTTTTTGTGAAACATTTCTACACTCTCAGAAAAAAAGGTACAAAAGCTGTCACTGGGGCTGTACCTTTTCAAAAGTTAAACTTTTGTCCATTTTAGGTGCTGATATGTACATTTTAAGTGTTGATATGTACATTTATGTGCTAATATGTACATTTTATGTGCTAATATGTACTAATATGTACATTTTAGGTGCTAAGTACATTTTAGGTGATAATATGTCCATTTCAGGAGCTAATATGTACATTTTAGGTGCTAAGTACATTTTAGGTGCTAATATGTACACTTGGGTACTAATATGTACATTTTAGGTGCTAATATGTCCATTTCAGGAGCTAATATGTCCATTTTAGGTGCTAATATGTATATTTTAGGTGCTAATATGTACCACTAAGGTACCAATATTCAGCCTTTGGGTACAAAAGTGTACCTTTTGAAAAGGTACAGCCCCAGTGACAGCTTTTGTACCTTTTTTTCTGAGAGTATACTGTGGGTCTCTTAGATTGTCACATTCATTCAAACTGTACATATGCTTCTGCTTATTTATGCTATCTTGTTTCTGCTTCTTCTTGACATCTAATCTGATCTTGAGATTCAGTCCTCTTTCAGAATAACCGTATAAACATGGAAAGCCAGACATTTCCGTCAATGGCAGGGAAAGAGTTCAGATTTGCCTGTTTTTGAGACAAGGTGACTTTGGGTTATCATATATTTTACAACCCATCAATTACTCTAATCTTACAATTAATCTAAGAGATCCACAGTAAATGGTACAAAGAGCAAGAAAGGTGTTGCCTACTTTTGCTGAAATACACACCAGGCTCTAGACAAAGCTCAAATTCACTAAAATAATAGAGTAAGAGACACTGGCGTCTGCTTGTCTGTGGTTATTTTATTCCATTATAAACTGACCAGTGTCTTACACACAGCGGCACAAATATGCTTCCTCAAGCACTTTAAGGCTCTCCACAGAGAAGTGAATATCTGAAACAGCAGACTGATCTCATGAAATGGCATATGTATGACACGCCAATTCGTATTTCCATTTTTGGCGTGCTATCATCACACATAATCGCTTTTCAGCGTGTTTATGAATGCCGTTGACTTAACGTTATTACTGTATATATAAATATATGACCTATCCCAACCCCGTCCCTAAACCTACCCGTCACTGGGGTTAATGGCATTTATGAGTGTTCCCCTACCATCCTAGGAAAAAAAAAGATCGCTCCCCAGATGTAGATCTACATTTTGCTTAATTTCGCTCGGACATGTAACGGCGTAGACATACACTCAAACACACGGATAGCTCAAAATGTGTGTAGATAACACACCAGTTGACTTGAAAGTAGCGTGTAAGTTTACGCAAAAGTCATGATGTCGTGTTGGAAACGGTCAAACCCTCACCAGTGATGTTCTCTCATCTCAACTCCACTGGGACATGATTTAAACCAGATTTAACGTTCAACCTTGTTAAACTTTAGAGTGTTTTTCAAATATTCAAACTACTTGCACACCGAGTCTGAAATTTTCGTAAGCGTTTTTTTTTTTTTTTCGTATTCATGATTCGGTGGCTCTGAATTGTCAAAACGCCATTCAATCTGCTCACTACAGATGCGAAAACGCAGAAAATCGAACCAGATTCATTTTGTTTTATGACGGACAAAGTTTGGGGAGGCAGTGTGCAAGCGTGATTGACATAACGTGCGGTCGTATTCATTTTTTAACGTGCGGAAATTTCAGACGCGAATTGGGCCTGAAATGATATGCGTCCACTCAGCAGCAGAAGTACGGCGGGCTCCACTCCATGCTTTCATACGCCTTATTCACGGCAGCGCCATCTTTGATTTTTAATGAGAATGAAAGCGAGGCTGTGAGGGATAGACTTGCATCTCTTCAATGGGCTGTACTGTTATTTAATGTGTTTTTGGATTGTTCTGCTCATGAAACACTGGAAAAATATCTTTCAAAGAAATTTCAGTTGACAAAAAACTCCCGACAATGTAAGCTGTGAAAATTTTTAAGTAATCTAGCTGCTTTATTCAGCTTTTTACAGCGGATGCCATTAGAAACACGGTAAGTCTATCCCTCACAGCCTCACTTTCATACCTGTCATGGCGCTGCTCTGAATAAGGTCTATACTCCAGTAATCGACGGGCGTTCTCTGGTCATTCTCTCTGTGGGGCCTCGGGCTCTAGGATGAAAATGGCCTCAGTACTCTCTAGCACTGCTGTCTTCATGGGCTCGGTCTCCCAGTATACTGTGGATCCCGGCTCTTGCTCCGTGGTGGGCATGGCTGGTGCTCGGCTGGGCTCTGGGTCTGTTGTGGGGCTGGCGTGTTCTCTTCATTATTGAACATGGTAAAGGAAGACCCGGGCCTGCTGTCTCCGGTTAGGCACCCCTTAGTACACTCATTCAAACTGGTCTGGATAAACACACAGAAGGAGCGAGAAGTGAGTAAGGCACGCTAGGTCTAAAAAGTCTTTCATGAGATCGGCCTGATTCTTGGAATCAACTGGGAAGTCCATGTTTTTCTAGCATAATGAACAGTCTTCATAACTTCAAAAAATAACTGTTCATAAAATATGCGGCACTGAACAATAACCAGAAAGAACGTGTCGGTTACTAATATAACCTGAAGGAGGGAACGGAGACGTTGCGTCGGACTGACATTGGGATTTCGTCTGAGAGTTGCAACGTGCAAACACTCACATTAAGTTTCTCGCTGAGGAGCTGAGACTGAGTTCCAGAGGAGGTACAGGACAAATGTCTCCATTCACCCCTTCAGGAAACAGTGTTTACATTAGTAACCTAGATGTTCCCTATCAGTCAGTCACGTTCAACGCTTCGTCGGACTGAACTGATGTATTGGGATCCCTATGGAAAGTGCTGCCCCTTCCAGCGAATGCATTGGCTTGTTTTGTACCACTCGAAAGTGATTGGCAAGATCCCAATACGTCAGTTCAGTCAAACGTAACGTCAAACGTGACTGACTGATAGGGAATTGAGCATTTAAGTACACACAGGGATAATTAACGGAACAAGAAACAGGTGGGTAACTCTAGCTACAAACTAGCAACAAGAAACTAGGAAAACATGGGACGGGGGATAAAAAAAAAAAACTAAACATAATCGTGACACTAGCCCATTTGCAAATCCAATTCAATTTATGGTCTATACAAATATTATGATTGCATGTGTGTATATGCGCTGCCTGTACAAGCATGCCGTTTTTTGCGCATTTCCTTTCCTGCTATTTTGGGCGATCAGGTTGTCAATGGCTCTCTCTCTCTCAGCAACCTGTACCTCGCATGAAACAATCGCAGTAACAAGCAAATGACAGCAATTTAAACAGACAAGTTTGACTCTCCTCTCTATGCACTTTAAAAAATATTTTCATATTTTGCATATCTTCAGTCAGTGTGTAATATCAGTCTTGCTCCATATAGACTGCTGATCTGACATATGCAGCGAGGGAAATGAGGCAAGTGTGACGAGTGGCGCGAGACAACAGGAAACCAATAATCAGTCCTTCTTCCTCTATCCCTGATGTGTCACAGTCACTTGCGTCAAAGAACATGTATCAGGTTTAGGTTCTCTTGCTGAAACCTGTGTTAACCTGAACTGAGGAGATGAGGGAGAAAGCGAAAGGATCGATCAGTTTAAGGATGTTGGACTTCGGGTGCCGGCTGTGGCACCTGACGCTGTTGCTGTGTCTCACAGGACTCCTGCAGGGGGGTAAGACTGAACACCACCTCATTATACATGCAAACTGAAGTTATCATTTACATACATGTTTTACATGGTAATTATTTAAAAAAAAATCTAAATGTAATTACAGCTGTAATTAATATCTATTTTACATCAAATAATTACACTTACACCTTAAACCTACCCATACTACGAAATCTGTCCTAACCTTACCCGTATCCCACCTCGATAAGCATAAGTGCATTGCAATACAAATCAACATAAGTATGTGGAAAGCAAAACATTTCCAAAACATCCAAGCTGTATTTTTTTAATACAATGGACGTGGATGGTGACGACTTACAAGTCTAAAAATGACAAATGAAAACCATAGAGTTACACAGCTTAATGCAATATATATATATATATATATATATATATATATATTATAGTATAAAGCTTGTGCCTGCTTGTGCTGCTATCGAGGTGGGATACGGGTAGCTATATGCAATCTCTTCTGAATCTAAACAATAGCTTTGTGCTATTTAAGTGATATTTACAAAAAAACTTTCTTAAATCCTATTTTTCAGTTCTACATATTCAGACTTCCTGTGTGACAAAATGAGAGAGAACTAATGCTGTCACACCACTAATGTATAGAAAAGAGTCTGGGTGTGCATAAGAATTTTTTTTTTTTTGTCAGATTAGTACGGAAGCCCTGAACCGCAACCTAAAAAAAAAAAAGGTAAAAAAAAAAAAAAAAAAAGGTAAAAAAAAAATCTGTTAAAAAAAAAAATCTAGCATTTCGAGATTAAAGTCGAAATGTTTCGAGATTAAAGTCGAAATGTTTCGAGATTAAAGTCAAAATGTTTCGAGATTAAAGTCGAAATGTTTCGAGATTAAAGTCGAAACATTGTGCATTCATAACAGTGCGCGTCCACTGGCTCAGAGCGCGCGCGTGAAGTCGAACTGCCATGGATAAACACAAAATAGTAGCTTTTTACTTTTATCTGAATTACTTATCTTACTTTATCGTTATAAAATATAATGCGCCGGAATAGACTTTAGCCTATAGGAAAACCAACACGGAAAACACTTTTCAGACTGGATGGAAAAATCCAGCTTTATGAATGAATGAATGAATGAATAGGGCATTTATATAGCGCTTTCATATATGCCTACACTCGAAGTGCTTTATATCAGAGAATCTCTCCTCAACCATAAGTGGTTATTAAATCTTAGGAAATCACAGGATCCGGCCAAATGATTGGATACAGAATGATGCACTTAAAATGTATCCAGAGCGCATTTACGTTGAAGAGGGAGACCGAACAGTTACTGTTGTGTTCTCGACCCAGATAGTGTTGACTAGACGAGCACGAAAACACCTCAGAAACACTGCCACTAGCACGGGTGACGTGTGTAGAATTTTGTTGAAAGCCCAGATAAAAGTAAAAAGCTACTATTTTGTGTTTATCCATGGCAGTTCGACTTCACACACACACACACACACGCGCGCGCGCGCTCTGAGCCAGTGGACGCGCACTGTTATGAATGCACAATGTTTCGACTTTAATCTCGAAACATTTCGACTTTAATCTCGAAACATTCCGACTTTAATCTCGAAACATTTCGACTTTAATCTCGAAACATTTCGACTTTAATCTCGAAAACATTTCGACTTTAATCTCGAAATGCTAGATTTTTTTTTTTTACAGATTTTTTTTTTTTTTACAGATTTTTTTTTTTTTTTTAGGTTGCGGTTCAGGGCTTCCGTAGTACGGTGTGCAAAAAAAAAAAAAAAAAAAAAAAAAACAGACTCTGTGTATCACTAACTTTACAGAATAGACTGGGCTGATGTGTAAAACAATACTCATGCTCGCCACATAACCATAATACTTTATAAAATATAACTTTTGATCATGTGATGTTGCTTAACTGTATCATATCATATGTTATAAAAACTCCACATGAGTATGTTCATTGAGTTTCTATGTGTGAGCTGCGCTCTCCTCATAAGACTCGAGCCTCAACAGCCCAACCGTGTTGATTAGCAGTCAGAATATCTTTACTTTTTTTAAAAAAAAATACTTTTTTAACGATAATAATTTAAAAATTAAATTACATTTTAAATGAACAAATATTGTAAGTAAACAACAATAGGCCAAGTTTAGAAAATCTTTATTTTAAATAATAAATCTATTTTCAGGTGTGCCAGCTGCAACTGTGGATGGCACCGGCACACCCGTGGCTTCGCCTATGGCTCACAATTCTATCATATAAGTTCAGTTGATTTATAGGATATGTAGTGCATGGATAACTTTTAAGTTTCTCGCTGAGGAGCTGAGACTGAGGGTGCTTTCACACACCTTCCTCTTTTAGTTCAGTTGAATTGCACTAGAGTTCGTTTTTCCCCTTGGTGCGGTGCGTTTTGCAGGTGTGAAGGCAGCAATCGTACTCGGGTGCACACCAAAAACGGACCACACAACCGTACCGAGACCGTTAGTACGCTTTCAAACGAACTCTGGAACGGTTTGTTTGTGGTGAGAACGTGATCCGACCTCGAAAAGACCCAACTGCCAAAGAACTGCACATTTTTGGACTAAGCCAGCTGCCGTAGTAAAACAAAACTATTATTTGGATTGTCAATAGCGCTCAGTTTAAGCCATGACTGACTCATCACGTTCTGCACTCTCACTAAAACTCTCATCATAAACACTGCAGTTATCACCGTAAGAGTGAATCTCTTATGTATATCGCGTCTATACTTTGTTGTTTATGAGGGGATTTGTGAAAGGATAAAGCTCGTGCTGATTCTGAACATACATTGTGAGTGAATTCTCCACATGTCAGCCGGATTTTGCTCCTTTGTTTACTACCAGGAGCTCTGTTGGAATTTTCATGCATGTTAATTCTGACCAATCAAAGTGCAGTCATGGAAATATGTTCAAGACATATCTGGCCAACGAGTAATGTGGATTTTGTCACATGTCAAATTGCTGCCCCTTCCAGCGAGTGCATTGGCTTGTCTTCCTCATTTGGCAAGCCCCCATTCACGTCATTGTATGATCAATCAAAACTAACTTTAGCTGGAAAATTACTTTTTCTATTCTAGAGCTGCTGTAAAACCAAAACAATCTCTGTTACTTTAATTTCCTATTATCACTGTAAAGCCGCTTTGGGACAATCTACTTCAAAAAGCGCTATATGTGCTTTTAAAAAAATGAAAGTTAGTCATACATACTTGGAACAACACCAAGGAGAGCAAATGATGACAAAATGCAAATTTTGCGTGAAATATTTAAGGTATGCCTGTCTAATGCATGTCTCCACACAGATCTGTGCTACGGTCAGCGTCTGGTCCAGATCCAGGAAGGTCCTCTCTATAGAGTGAAAGGATATCCCATCTCCATATCCTGTAATGTTAGTGGATTTAAAGGCCCATCTCAGCAGGATTTTGAATTTAAGGTCATGAAATCAAACATGCCTATAAATATCATCAGTACTACAGCGACAGACTTTGTCTATGCAATGTTCTCCAAAAGAGTAAGGGAAAAAGATATTGAGATTGAGAGGTTGTCAGGATCTTCAGTTCTCTTGAGGATCAAACAATTGCTTGAAGGGGATGCGGGTGATATCTTCTGTGAAACTCCAAACACTGATCCCATATATCTTGGAAGTTATGAAGCAGAAACAAAACTTCATGGTAAGATATTTATTTATCTTGAGTGTTTTAGTGATTAATCAGATGATTTGGCCAATTTGAGATTATTGAGGTCATAGGCAGATCTATATCTAGAGAAATCTGTTAGCATCCATCAACATTTCCATTCATCCCAACAGAAGATGATCAGCTATAAGCTAAAGTTGTACATCTATTTATTTGAATCACTATTATATCAGCCATCAGTTACTCTCTCTCTATTGGTATTTTCATTGACAAACACATATTGGTCCAACCACTCGTTGTGACTAATGTTTTCAATACAAAATCCACAGTGATTGAGGACACCCTGAAGGCATCGTACTCTGGCTCTTCCTCTCAGAGCTTGTCTGAAGGTGATCCTCTTCAGCTTGAGTGCCAGGTCTCCAGCGAGACTTATCAGCACACCCATCTGTCGGTCAGCTGGTTTCTCCACAGTGGAGCCGATGAGAACCCCCGACCAATCATCACTCTGGACAAAGATCTGACGGTAAAGCCAGGAGCTGGATTTGAGGATCGCTACCACGCAGGTCTTATCAGCATGGATAAGGTGGAGGACACAACCTACAGACTGAAGATGTCGCAAGTGCAGCAGTCTGACCAGGGGAACATCTACTGCAGAGCCAGTGAGTGGATCCAAGACCCAGACCGTTCCTGGAC